ATATTGAGTATGTCTGAGAATCGGACAACATCTATTTTTAATCCCGCGCGGACGGAGTCGCCGTCGTCAGCTAGTCTTATACATAAAATTCTCGTGTCACAATGTTAGTTACCATACAACTCCGAAACGTCTTGACCGATTTTTATAAAATTTTATACGCATATTCAGTAGGATATCAGAATCTGCTGCTATCTATTTTTCATACCCCTAAGTGATAAAGTTTGTCCACCGCTAACATTTTTTTGAACACATTTTTTTATTATGTGGCATTAAAAATATAAACTTAAATATTCACCCTTCCGTCAACACGTACTATTTTAATAGTAATTTTAATAATTTATAGAAATTCCCTAGTTTTTTAGTCGACTTCAAAAAGGAGGAAGTTATCAATTCGCCTGTATGTCCTTTTTTATATGTGTGTTGCCGCGTAACTTCGCCCCTGGTGATCCGATTTAGATTTTTTTTTCATAAATATGTTAAAAACATGTTTGTGAAAGTGATTTTTATATGTCTGACCGTTCGTTTCCACTGCTACTATCCCATAGCTTGACAATATGTTTTTATAATATATCAGAAGTGGTAATAAAATACTACAGTCAATTACTTTGTTTTGTATAAAGATTTCTATAATAAAGGTTACGTTCAATCACAAATTATTTGCGCGACAAATATTTAACACGTCTTAAAATTTTTAAGGAAACATTTTTTCCTTTACTTCACAGCGTCATCATGTTCAATTGCTTTCATCCCTTGAGTCTATATTAAATTAAGTTCAAACAAGTCGAAAGTAATTGGAAGTCATGGCCTTAGGGAACGAATTGAATATCTGTATTTCATATAAATTCGAATCGTATTTTTTTATATTATAAGGTGTCAAACGAGCGAGCGGCCACATGAAATCGCTGAAATAGCGAAGTGACCGTTGCCCATAGACATACGCAATTGCACATGCGTTGCCTACCTTTAATCGACGGAGGAGAGGATGCACAGAAAGAAAGCATTTTCATGCATCCTCTCATCCGGAAAGCCCACTTCCACTTCCCATACTTATAAGAAAAAGGGTAGGAAGGGAAAGACGACTAAATTAGGCCTCCGGGACGCACACTCATCAGACAAAACGCGGAATTGCTTCCACTTTACGCCTGTCTTCTGTGTGGTCGTGGTATTTCACCGGGCGGGCCGGGCCAATTCGTGCCAAGGCCAATTCCAAAGATGTTAAAGCGGGCTCTACCACTGTTAAAAATCTTGTATAAAATTTATACAAGAATTTATGCAGACGTATTTTCACACCAATAAAAGATAAGCAAGATATTTATCATCTTCATCAGTATCATCATCACCAACTTCATCACTACTAAATGCAACTAAGTCTGTTGTTTTTTGTTTACTTTAACTTTTAACAGTTGTCATAATAGTAGGACATATCTAGTTACTCTAAGACCATCTCTTAGTAGCCACTTAATAACTTTATTAGAGTGCAGAATTTGGTATAGCACGACAAGGTTATCTGGGCCGACAAGATCAGCTGCGGTTACTACTGTCATAAAATATGCAAAACCTACATAAAAATGTACATGACGGGATTCGAACCCAAGACCTGCTTTTGCAAGTCAAGTGCTTAACTACTGAGCCATTGACGCTCATGATACATTTATGTATAGACAATTAAGATACAGTAAAATAAATATAAAAGTACACCTCAATTTCAAAGTGTTTTATATTCAGGTTAATAAATAAGAAGCCAAGTTTTCCCTTTGATCGTTCAATCGTGAGATTGAAGAGTTCCTACTACAAAGAAAAGAATTCTTCTAGACTTTTTTATTAAGCTATTTCATTAACTAACATAAAATATATATTAAGGTTCATTTTTGTTAAAAACTCACGTTAAAATATTTTACATTAATACTAGCTGTCCACCGCGACTACGTCCGCACGGATTAAAAAACTTAGTAGCCTATGTGTCCTTTCAGACTATGTTCTACATGTATGTCAAATTTCATCATGATCCGTTCAGCTGTTCTGCAGATACCTTCAAACAAACATCCATCCATTTAAATATTCGCCTTCATAATAACAGTAAGATTTTTCAAAGAACACGTCATGTTTCATATTATATAATACATGGCTAAGTATTTTGAATATTTTTTTTTTTCTAATTTCTAAAACAACCTCAATACCATGTAAGCTTTGTTAAGGAAATAAAAAAGTTTCCAACACAGCCTTGGGCGTCATGTAAAAGATATAAGTCTCGTTTATTATAAAATGAAATTTGGTAACAAAACATTGCATAATAATTATTTCTATGTTGTAATAATGTACTAAAGAGCGTCGGTGGCTCAGGGGTTTGACTTGACTTGCAATCTGCAGGTCCTGGGTTCGAATCCCGCCATGTACCAATGTGTTTTTCGATTTCCGATTTACATATGTACATTTATCCGACGTTCTTACGGTGAAGGAAAACATCGTGATGCCACCTGCACATATCGAGAAGAAATTCAAAGATATGTGTGAAGTCAACCAACCCGCGCTTGGCCAGTGTGGTTGACTATGGCCTAATCACCCTTAACTTAGGGTAGGCTCCGAGCCCCTCGTAGGGGACGTATAGTAAGCTGATGATGAATAATGTACTACAATTAGAATATTTATTTTATTATGTTATCATATTTACAAAAAATTCGTTGTTAAGATATAATTTTATTTTTTCATCTTTTTGCCGTTAAATTTCAAATATCGAAAGATTAAAAAAGAGTCTGAATACTTAATAAAAAAAAGGAAATGCAGGAATGAAAAAAAATATCTATTGTTTTATTGTAAAATTTTATTTATCGATTCAGAATGAATTAATAAAATCAATTATAAATATTTATACTATTCATAAAGTCTTATGCAATTTGCATTTAATGAAGGAAATAATTAAAACATGACAATAATCTATTCATCTTTTCCACAAGTCTTTGTTACAGTAGAAGATTACAAACGAGTAAAATCGAATGACCACACAGTATGGTATAGCTCATTTCAAGTACCTTGGCGGCTCAAGAACATCGGCGCAGTGCAATCCTCCGTATCCCGCTACGCCCCGCTTCACTTATTTTTTTATTAAATTTTTGTTCTACGCAGCGTCTCGCGAAATTAGAGCTGCCAAGATATTTGCAAAACATTATAAAAGGATACAGATGAGTTACCTTCTTTTACCAGAGATATAGTGAAGGATGTTAATTTCAAACCCACTTCAGAGAAATGTAACTAAATAATTAAGTCGAAAAGTATGTCATAGACAATATGGATTTTGGATGGTAAGAAGCTAATTTAATTCTTAAACTATACAGGTAAAAAAAATCTCTTTCCACTATATCTCCGTCACTGCTAGTTCACTTTTCTTTCAATAGTTGTAGCAACGTTTGTCAAACAGTTTACATAGAGGTTAATACGCGAATGCTCTGAGGTTGGTAATTATTGATATTTGCAGATTTCAAAGCTAAGTTTGATTGAGTGAGCACTGATATCGAATATTCCTTTGATTGTGGAAATCTAAAACCGAACGAATTTCATGAGATTTTCTATAGCAAAGTATAATATATTTAGTATTAGTGTTTGATAATGTATTTCTTTTAATTAAAAAGTTCTAAGTATTTAAGGATTTTGTATATATTTATACCAGAGTCTGAGAAACTTTTAAATTAAAAACTTTTTTTAATTTTTTTTTATGAACACTTCAATGAAGAGTACAATCGCTAAGAAAATTCTTCTCATAATTTTATAGACTGTGTCACAAAATTTGTGTAAATAAATATCGAGTTCAAAGATAATAAAATTTAAAAAAAAATCTTTATGCAACATGTATAATATTTTTTATCTATATGTACCAAAAGTAAATACTACCAGCCCTTTTAAATTATCTAAAGCCATTGAACCCTTACAAAAGCAATAACTATATTAATATTACAACTATTTTAAAATTGGAAATTTTATTACATTTATAATCTAGACAATTTATATAATATTTTTTTAATTTATAAGCATTTTGTAACCTAATCTATCACAACATTTAAAGGCGATATAATATTTGGACCATTTGCTTGCCAAGGATGAAAATTGCAAATATAAATTAATTGTGAGATAAAAAAAAACCTTAAATTAAATACCTTTGTCCGAAATAAAAAAAAAAAACAATTGCTGCCAATGACATTTAGGCAAAGATTTTTGATGCGTCAAAAAATGGAGGGAAAGTTTGTTTTTAAAACATCATCGGACATAATTATATGTGCTATTTTTGAAAGTTAGTGCTTTATATTCTTTAGGAAGATTAAATCTATGTGCGTTTATAAAATTAAGCTCTTTAATAATCCGTTATACCATTGTACAAGATTGTGAATTATAAAATTAAATATATGAATACAGAATATTAAGACAGCACAGATTAAAAAAAACAATTAAGTAACGAAATTTAATTTGAATGTTCTTAATAAAAATGGCATAATAGTTATAGCAACCATTAAATAAAAAAATCAATATTCAATGTTTTTTTTTTAATTTCTTAATTGAAAAGTCTATTGTTTTAATCCAGTTGTCCAGTAATATCTTGTAATTAAAACTTGGCAGTAGATTCGTTGTGCGATCACGCTTTGAGTTACATCCAACATTGTCAAAACGATCTTTGAATAATTATTCTAATTCAGTTTGAAAACATAAATGCAGTTTGATTTATAAATTAAATAACTTTTTATAAATTAAAAAAAAACTACGGTGTAACATTCGATATTTAAAAAAATATAAAATTTGTAAGAATTAAAAAGTATAAAACAGAGAAGAAAATATATAATAACAATATTTTAAGGTACTTTAAGTAGATAAAAATTAAGTGACTTTAAAAAAATAGTGCGTTTCTTATCCTAGAGAGTTATGAAAGATTATAAAATGCTATTTACAATTTACCTATTGATTTTAAGACTAGTTGAGGAATGACAAATATAATTAACATTAATTGAATCACAAAACGTATTCTAAAATTAATTACAGATAATAATTATAAAAATATCACTTTATCTAAAATTACATACGACATTGTTACAAGTGAATGAAATTGAATAAATCGACACAGTGCGAAAATAGTTACATCTCTAGAAATTTAAGATGTAACTCTTTTCGTCGCACTCGGAATATCCTTATAACTCTTGATTGTAGGTTTTTATTATGAAAATATATTTTTAAATTCAATATCTATACATTAATACCAAAATGGTAACAAAAGATTTATATTTTAGATTTAGGGAACTAGAAAATAATTATTTTCATAAACGATATCGAAGTTATAAATATTATTTTTCAAGGTTGCGCAAAGAATGTCCAGTTGCTACAGATGAAAGGTATAAAGTGCAGTTTTTTTATTTAATTTTCTTTTTAAATCCTAGCGCGATGCGCCCACGCGCAGCATCACCGTCTCGCATCAAGTTTGCCATTTTCTTTGACGGGTGTTTCGTGCGGTTTTTCCTTCGACTCTTGGACTGCTTCTAAGCCGATATCAAACGATGGTTGGCGACTGTAAATTTTATTTTAAACTCTTTAAGGTTAAGTGACTTGCTTGAGTTTCTGAGACCAAAATACCCCTTTTAAAGAATCAGGGATGATGATATGTTTTACATGGGGATATTGATTTCAGAAACTCACGGTAAAAGTAGTTTAAATTCCAACAAAATTTAGTCTGGAGTTTATTGGATTACGTTTAATGGAAATAAAAGAAAATGTAAAAGATACTTTAATTTATAATGAGTTTTTAGTAACGATTTTAAAACTAAATTATTAACAGGCAAATAATTATATCAAACATAAAAGCTCTCTGTTGCCAGAGGCTAAGGTCGTAAATAAACAAATATTCATTGTTGTTTTTTATTTATACAAAACTTACTTTTCCGTAAGATAATTTCCGGGAGCCGAAAGCGATCGTCCAGCTTTCGACAAAGCTGTTCTCCGAAGTGATTGCTTATTCGCTTCGTTGTCGATTTCACCGACATTTGACTCCCTACGGGCACTACCTTCACGGCTGCGTAGGAAGGGATTCTTGAAAGGGAAAATAAAATTACAAATTAATGAATAACTTTGACTACTTAACTTAAACATTAAATTTAACTTGAATAACTTAACTACTGAATTATCATATATCTATAAAGTAGCAAGATTTAATTGATTTGTGAAGCTATTTATATGTTGACTGTGAAAAGACGTATACAAAGAACAATTCCTTCTAAAGTTCTGCACATTTAAATTTTGCAAGATTCTTATCATTTTCCTAGTACGATGTGAATCTTTAGTTAATTATCATCATCAGCTCACTATACGTCACTATCGAGGGGCTCGAAGCTTACTCTAAGTTAGGAATAGGTCATAGTCAACCACGCTGGCAGAGTACAGGTTGATTGACTTTAGACATGTCTTTGAATATTCTTCTCAGATATGTGTAGGTGATATCACGATGTTTTCCTTAAAGTTAATTAAATTGTTTTAAATACCTGAAAGCTATGTTTCTTGAGCATTGTTTTAATGAGTATTAGAGTTGAAAGATTAGGTATCGATGTCACGACTCTGGCCATATCTTCATCTGTCACTTCGACTAATCTACAGTTCTCTTGCTCTGAAGGAAGAGGATCTTTCCCACCATTTGTTACCCATTCGTGTTCCTGTAAGCGATTACTAATATTAGTTCTTAGATGATACCTCACCTTGATACTCAGTGTCTACATATTCAATGGTTACAAGGACATAGTCAATTACGCTGGCTTAGTGCGTGCTGATTGACTTCAGTGTGTATGTTTCATCACAATGTTGTCCTTCACCATAACGTTGGATACCTCCCTCCATCTCTACCTCTAATATCTAAATTCTTATAAGGTTTTTTATTTCTTCTGTAAATCTAATATATCATAATAATATGACATTTTTATACAAGAGATGGGGGCAAAGGAGCGGCGGGAACACCGATCAGCGACACCAGTGGACATCCGTAATACGAGAGGAATTGCGGATGCTTTCCTTTAAGGAAATGGTATGCTCGTTTCTTGAATGACCCTAAGTCGACGTCTAACTTACTTTGATTTCCTGCATTAACGCTCTCGTGTTTGGATTTTTGTCAAGCATTCTAGCCAGCAATCGTCGCAGTGGTCGAGAGAGCGCCGGTTTTGAAGGGAACGAGAGTGGCTCAGTTAAGACCCGCTTTTGTAGTTCCGTTGAACTCTCACCACACCATGGCACTCTGCCTGTTACCATCGCGTACAAAGTCACACCTAATGACCAGATATCTGCCGCCTGTATGAGAAAATATCAGTTCAGTACGTGAACATTATTAACAGCAATAAGATACAGCAAGCTTGGAATCTTCTATATTTAATTTAGTATTTAGCCGTGTCCGTAGATTGCTGCATTTGATTTGCAATGTTGCTAAGATAATCGTCAAAATATCTCAAAATATATCGCAATAAAAAGTGATATCAACTTTAACTTTGTCTAGTGTAGCTTATTTATTTTACTTACCTCGCCAATATACTTATCCGCTGGTGCAAATGCTTCAGGTGCTCGGAAGGCGGGTGTACCAACTGCACCGGAGAGTTTCCCAGCGCCTGCCAGTTCACCGCACGCTCCGAGATCAGCCACCTGTACTCGGCCTTCACCGAGCAGTAAATTTGCAGGTTTGATATCACGGTGTGCTATTCTTTGAAAATGTACTATAACAGAAAAAGTTATTCAAAATTGATTACTGAAACATTTAAAAGTTTCCCAGTTTATCCATGCTTCAAAATCTGGAATTGGAGGCCTTGTTCTTGTTTTGATAAAATTACAGAATGTATGAGAGAATAGCTGTCACTCGCGTTTCCGTCCGCGCCAAAGGAACAAAACCTAATTAGTTATTATGTGTTTTTCCAAAATATGCTCTACATTTATGGCAAATTTTAGCGAGATCCATGCAGCCATTCTGGATATACCTTCAAACAAACATCCATCTAAACATACCCATTTATAATATTATTAAGTTAGATATGACAGTTACTTAGTACTATGAATTATGTGTTAATTAAGAATGTACTTACAGTATTCGACACCTAGTAATGAATCTCTAAAATATTTTCTTGCTACATTTTCATCTAAAGGATTTTCAGTCGGTATATCTATCACAGGACCTCCTTCTAACAGCTGGAACACTAAGTACAATTGGTCTTCAGCTGGGTCGTCTAAGACCTGAGCAAATACAAATGTTTTTTGATGAAAATTTTAAAATTAATCAAACGTTCAAAAAAAATTAAAAAGAAATTATCATGACTTACCTCAACTAATTTAACTACATTAGGGTGGTCTAACTTTTTGAGCACGGCTATCTCCCTGTAGATCCTTTGCAGCGGGTCAGGCGGGGGCCCGGGAGCCTGAGGTCCGGGGCCTGGACGCCGCGGCGGTGCTCGCCCGAAAAGACCCGCGCGTCGCATCAACTTACGTTTCGAAAGGATCTTCATTGCCTGCGTTAAAAAAATTAAATAGTGTATCACTGTAGTATACAGGATATCCGGAAAATATAATAAAGGATCGTAAGTACAAGGTGTGATTGAATAGTGCATCACTACATTATACAGGATGTCCCGAAAATATAACGAAGGATCGTAAGTACAGGGTGTTCGGAAGTAAGATGTATTATGTTCAAATGTATCAATAAACTTACATAATGCGTGTCATCCTCTTCGTTATAAGCTAACTTAACAATACCGTAGGAACCCTGAAAGATTAAAGGAATATAGTCTCTTGCTTTCATTGTATATGATTGTAAATTTGTCTTATAGAAATTCTCTTACAATTCTAATGGACAAATATATTTTTAGCGCTAAGATAATTTGTCGGATTTAAGAAGAGATTATTCTAAGTCAATGTCCTTTGTTGTGGATTATATTTACTATTTGGAAAAGAGTACTAGAACTACATTTAGTCTAGATGATCAAATAAAACACTAAATTTTGTGTACTAATTTTTTGTCTTTAAAATGGTTAATAATTCATTTTACTGCTTTAAGATCACAAAAATGCTTGTTAAAATCTCTTAAAGTATGTTTTGAAAACTTACTTATCAAGTTAATTTTAACTGACACACAGCTGACGATCAAGAATAACATACAATATTTAATAAATGGTCCTTCCTTCAATAGTAAATAGACCACTATCTTACTATCTTAATAAGCTGGAATAAAGAAATTCTAGTATTATCGTACCTGACCAATTGGTTCTAGCAACCGATACTGGTTGAGCTGGACGTAGCCTGGCGCCTGTGCGAGGGAAACTCGACGGGATTCACGGGGCGCGCGTCGCGGGCGAGGAGAACTATGCCCACTACACTCAGCAGACTTAGCTGCGTGAGACCGAAGTAGAGTAGAACGTTCGGTGCATGTTGTTAGCCTGTTTATGAGAAGTAATAATTTAGTAATGGTCTCTGATAATTAAGTGTAGATAGAACTTAGTTTGCCTAGCGACTATTTAGCGTGGTTAAGAGAAGCCAGTCCAAACCGGTTCTCCGTAATGTGTCTCGTAATTTTAGTAATCTAATAAAGTAAATTAGTTACTTCATATCTCATAGGACAACATAATTTTAACAGAGGTAGAGCCCGCTTTAACATCTTCGCATGAATTGGCCCGGGAACACAGGTGAAATACCAAGACCACACGGAAGACAGACGTGAAGTGGAAGGAATTCCGCGTTTCGTCTGATGAGTGTGCGTTCCGGTTGCCTAATTTAATCCTCTTTATCTTCCCACCGTTTTTATAATAAGGAAAGGATGGGAAGTGGACTTTCCGGATGATAGGATGCATGGAAAGGGAAAATATTTTCTGTCTGTGCATCGTATTCTTAAAACAATTTTAATTAATTTATGATAATCGTCTTATAATCAAACAATATCGGGATCTATTTCGATTCCAACGCCATCTATGGAAATAATCAATACATTAATATGTGAATGTTGTGTCTAAAGCAGATATTTTGTCTCACCTGTCTCCATCGGTCTGTTGCCATCTTTTATCGACTTCATTTTTTCTATTAGCCTCTGCACTGACGTCGACCGCAGAATGTCTACCGAAGAAAAATAAAGTTCTATCGATAAGTGCGGCATAATTTTTTAAATCTTTATATATATAATTCTTCTGTGAGTGTGTATGAAATTCTGTGAGTGTGTATGTCACTGAACTTCTCTCAAACGACTGGACCGATTTTGATGAAATTTTTTGTGTGTTTTCAAGGGGATCTGGGAATGGTTTAGATTCACAATTTTTTCCGCTGGACAATGTTTTTTTAATTAATTTTTAATTTATTAGTAGTTGTTGATTTTGGAATGTTTTACAGTGGATCCGACAGACGGCGCTACCATCGCAGTGTCAAATTTTAAATAATTTTCAAATTAAAGACGTGTAGACAGGACAACGTCTGTCGGGTCCGCTAGTATTAATATAATAAGTAAAATATTCAAGTGGGAAAATCGTAAAAATATTTTCAAAGCCAAACGAAGCTTGGCTATGTGAATTGCAAATATTTGTTAGTACATTACAACAATGTTATTTACATATATTGATGGTTACCAAATATATCGGCCGCATAACTATATCTGCAAACAAATTTGTCACGAAACGTAAATCATTATGTTTATTTAAGAAATATTAGGTTATTAACTGGTCATGATTTTTACAATCCTTTAATTATCATAGTTGCCATAAACTATAACAATGATTGTATTAAGTTTAGAGCATAGATAATATATTTCATAGATTTTTTTATACCATAAAGTGGAAAACGAGCGAGCGGCCACCTTTAATCGACGGAGGAGAGGATGCACAGAAAGAAAATATTTTCTAACAAACATCCATCCAAACATTCGTATTTATATAATTAGTTTTTTTTATATCATATGGTGGCAAACGAGCGAGCGGCCACCTGAAATCGCTGAAATAGCGATGTAACCGTTGCCCATAGACATACGCAATTGCATACGCGTTGCCTAACTTTAATCGACGGAGGAGAGGATGCACAGAAAGAAAATATCTTCTAACAAACATCCATCCAAACATTCGTATTTAATGTTTGGATGGATATTATTAGTAAAATTTTGGTTTCAGAAACCTACAGTAAGACAGATAATTAGTGTTGCCTTTATGTCATTTGAGTCGTGAGGAACTGGGCGTTTTTATCGTAAGTTTTCTTAATAAGAATCAAGGAGTCATAACATGATTTATTAAATATGAAGTTAGGTATACTCGTTGTAAGATAAACATATTATTTACATCGACATTTCCTACATTTGCATAATAATAACGACCTTTTTGCGTCATTATCTTAGTTAATAATAATGCAATAATAATTATAAAGCATGTTATTAATCTTACTAATATTATAAATGCATGGATGTATGTTTGTTTGAATGTATCTCCAGAACGGCTGTATGGATATCGACGAAATTTTGCATAGATGTATAACATAGTCTGGAAGGACACATAGACTAATAATTAAGTTTTTAAATTACCTCGCCAACGCAGAATACCTTTAAAATATGAAGTGAGACAATGTCTGGGTTGAATAAATTATTTTCCTAGAAGTTGTTAAATTGTTAAATATATGGTGACTAGTTGTTTACTAAATGAAAACATTTGTATAGATTTTTCTTCGCTAAGCATGAATAATTATGTATGCTTCACGCTTAATTTAAAACTACGACATAAATTATAAATATTTTAGCTTAAACAATGTAACATAAATTTACAGTAATAAATATTTATATGAATTATGTGTTTAAATTTTTTATACTATAAGAGCAAGCGGTCACCTAATTTCGCTAAAATAGCGAAGAATTGCTGCCCATAGACTAACCTTAATTAAAATGAGAGGGGGACGCACAAAATGATTCACCTACCTACGCTTGTCCATCCACCATTAATTCCACATCCCCTTCCCATTCTTTCCTTCTAAGAAAAGGAAAATTAGGACTACTGCACGCACACTCATCAGATGAAACTCGAAATTGATTCTATTACAAAATATTTGTACATTTGTATTTTTGTATGTGGCAAATAAATTTAAAAACTAAACCGGTTTCTTTTGAACAACATCGTTGAATAACATCAGCTATATTTGTTGATAAATTTTTTTGCTCCCGCGACCAAAGTCGCAGGCAAAAGCTAGTAAAGAATAAAATAATGATACGTGTCATAAAGGTATCGTAAAACAAATAAGCAATTCCAATCATTTATCCAGCTATATTCGAATTGTTACGATTTGTGGGAACTGTCGTTTACAGACAGAATTATTAACATAAATCACTTTGTTTCAATTATTTAGAGGCCTGTGCTATGACATAAGCGTTTTATTGCTTTAAATATTTGAATTTTAAGGTGCAGGATCTGTTAACCTCTCGCATAACCTACTATCAAATAAAAACGAACAATAAGTTCTAAATTAACTTACTTGGGTTAATTTATATTCACATAAACATTCGACATTTGTTCAATTTTAAAAAGGAGAAGCATAAAAAAACTTGCTTGGGTAAACTATAATAAATAATTAATTATAAGGACGTTTAGTATTTACATATCATCATGATATGTACATGTGAATTTATTTAGTACAACGACAGCTCTCTGCCTAGTCCGTTTCTCAATAGTCAAGGGTTTTAATGAATGAACGAGTTATGAATATATCCGTTATGGCGGGGGTGTTTGTAGCCATTTTGACCTCAACCCACGCGTTATATCATTACAAATATTAAACAGTATTCATTGTAGGTCATAGGAGTTATTTTACACACATAATACGACACAAGTAGTCAGGTTTTACTTAGTCTTACCAGTGGTAGAGCCCGCTTTAACATCTTCGCACGAATTGGCTCGGTTAGCCCGGTGAAATACAACGACTACACAGAAGACAGGCGTGAAGTGGAAGCAATTCCGCGTTTCGTCTGATGAGTGTGGGTCCCGATGGCCTAATTTAGTCCTCTTTCTCTTTCCACTCTTTTTCTTATGAGGATGGGAAGTCGAAGTGGACTTTTCGGATCAGAGGATGCATGGAAAGGAAAAAATATTTTCTTTCTGTGCATCCTCTCCTCCGTCGATTAAAGGTAGGCCAGGCCACATGCAATTGCGTATGTCTATGGGCAACGGTCACTTCGCTTTTTCAGAGATCTCGTTTGCCACCTTATGATAAAAAAAGACGTTATGTCGTCAGCTTTTCCAAATACCCATCGAGTCTCTACCTTAAGTTAGGGGTCATTTATTAAACCACGCTAGGCCAAAGCGAGGTTGTTGACTTCACAATTATCTTTGAATTTCTTCAGAGATATGTGCTGAATGCATGAAGTCGTTGTCCTTCACCGTAAGAATATCAGAAAATACGAATTTCATGGCAATACACATTGGTACATATCTGGGATTGATCCCTGAACTGCAGATTATTAGTCCGGTGTACACTGCGCCAACTACGACGATGGATCTTTGTTATTATGTAAAGTTTTTATGACTGAAGAGTTAAATGAGTCTAAAATAGTTGTGGTATTTATATCAACACGTTTATTGACCACTATTATTAACCACATGTAGGCGGGACGTGCATACGACTCATTATGTGGCCTGTTAATTAATTATTGCGGCTAATTGCGTCCTTTTCTAAAGTGTTTATTATTAAAATAATTTTCTATCTTACATTAAGATGTAAATTATAAACTAATATTATAAATGCGAAAGTTTGGATGGATGTTTGATGGAAGGTATCTCCAGAACGGCTAAATGGATCTGGATGATATGGCACAGATGTAGAACATAGTCTGAAAGAACACATATGTAACTTACTAATTTTTTTTATTCGTCGCGTCCATATTATTATAAATGAAAGTTTAGATAGATGTTTGTTTGAAGGTATCTCAACGGATCACAAATGTACTTGGCACAGATGTAGAACATAATCCGGAAGAAGACATAGACTACTTTTTAAGATATTTAATCCTGCGCGGGCAGAGTCGCGAGGGACAGCTAGTAAGTATGAAAAATGTTTCAACATTTTAACGAAGTAATAATCAACTAATTAGTATTAAAATGTATTATTTTAAATTCTTATTCACGTATTTACAGAATTGTGTAATCAATTTCATTATTTCTTATATGTTTTTCATGGATACGGTATGTATATTTACGTATGTTTTTGTGTTGGTGCGCCTGCGCAACCTCGACTTTGTCCATAACCTGTTCTTCAACCTTGAGACGACATCAAGATGTGATGTCAAAACCCGAACGTTCGCTTTGTTAATAATATCTGAGGCATTAAATCATCACGTCTTATCATGTTAATGTATGAAACATTCTGTTTATTAATTTACTAACTATCGCACTCGACTCCATTCGCACGGAATTAAAAAAAAAACTTAATTGCCTTTATTTCTTCAAGCAACTTTATAAATCTATGCCAAATTTCCGCGAGATCCATGCTGTTGTTTTGGACATGTCTTCTAGTAAACAGTCATCCATCCAAACATTAGTAAGATACAAACTTTAACCTAACACTTTATAAAATGTATAACGAAGAATCTCCATATAATATTCAACATAACAGTATTAATACGCTTCTCGGTCTGAACGGAATGAATTAAATACATCACACTTGATCGAATCGATCAACGATTAATAAACAGCGTCGTACGATCGCTCGATAAGTAGTTTTATTGACACGTTATTTGTTCCTTTTCAAAACAACAATGACCGCGGACGATGCCAGACCGTATCAACGCTTGATTTTTAACACCACGTACTAGACTTAAACATTAAATTCTCATATAAATATAATGTCATCTTACTTCACAATTTTAATGATATTAAAAAATACGAATTGGCCCGGCTCGCCCGGTGAAATACCACGACCACACAGAAGACAGGTGTGAAGTGGAAACAATTCCGCGTTTCGTCTAAAGAGTGTGTGTCCTGGATGCCTAAATTAGTCCTCTTTCCCTTCCCACCCTTTTTCTTATAAGGAAAGGTTGGGAAGTGGAAGTGGACTTTCCGGATGAGAGGATGCATTGAAAGGGAAAATATATTCTTTCTGTG